TAAATATTTACTGATTGTGATTAAAAACAACTGGGATTAAAAACTTTCCAGTGCCTTAATAGAGAGTGGAACATTTTCCTAACAGAAAAATGAATTGTTGCTATGGTCATTGTGTGAGAGGTTTTTTAGGTTTTTGGGCATGACACTTCACCTGCATTGCCTACTGATGGTGCTCAAAGAGACTGGTGGTGCCAGTGTACGGCTGCCAGGGCAGCTGTGGCTCAGAATGTCTAATGGATGAAAAAGTAGCCGACTCGAAATTTCCCACAATGCACCTTTAAAAGTAGTCATCATCCATGGTCACTAAATGAGCAAATATATCCCAGATTGCTTTGTGAGAGTTCTCCTTGCAAAGCATCATGGGATTTTTTGAGGCGGCCACAAATAACAAAATTGCGCATTCATGATGCAGGGAGGTGGAGTAATGTGACCAACGGGTACCAAAGGTTAGTGATCACATTCCAAACAGTCAGTTAACTGAGTTCACTATAAAGTTCACTATATAGTCCCTGCTCTAAATACTGATTGAGGGATTCAGGGGTTAGAGCGGACTTTCCGTCACAGCCAATTATTCCAAACGCACCATGTGGGCAACAAAGAAGTGGGCTCCTTAAAAGAAAACATTGCAAGGTCCTTGAATGGCTTAGCCAGTGTCCAGACCACACAGTCTGCGGATTTGCAGCAGCAGCTAATACGGAGTCTGAGGCAGGTAACTTTGGTTTAGGGTATAATCTGTGCCCAGAGAACGAGGTAGATACCAGCCGGTCAACTGACAAAACACAGCGGTTGCCGCATAGAGTTCGAGACATCGAAGCCTTGAAGGACACAGATCTGACAGGAGATCAGATCCGAACAGATGAAGGAATGCAGGATAATCTAAATAGAAGCTGGCACAGGTGGATATGATAAGTGGCAAGGAGAAAACCAGGCAGAATAGGACAGGTGCATGAAATGAATAATTAAGCCAGTCATTAGCACCAAGATCATGACACAAATAGAAGACTTATGAACAGGGTTGAAAGTTTGTGTTCCCCAGTGACTGCGCCAAAACCTTACTTCTTTAGAGTAAAACTGCATGGAGGAGTACGGCAAAATATCAGCTATTGTCTGCAAACCTGATGATGTCATGACTATGTTATAAAGAGTTAGGTTGAACTGTTGTTGGCCAAATATTTATTTTCAACCATAATTTACGAATAGATTCTTTAAAATTCCTGCACTATATTTCATCTATTTCTGTCCTCTATTATTTGTGTGCCTATGATCAGGATTTCAGACCTCTCTCATCATCCTAATCAGGGCAACTTCCCCAATCAGTGGCTAATAAGCATAGATCAGCATGCATCTTCTTTAGATCAATTGTTTGACATCCTAATTTACTCAGAACTGTCACTTTTATGATTGCTCTCTCTGTTTGTGTTGCTTTCAATTCATCTGTCAATCACAGTTGAGACCACGCCTAATCACTTAGGCTAATAAGAAAGTGTTAGAGTATTGCTAAGGAGCTTTAAGAACAACTCCTCCACTTCACAAGCCTTTCTTTCACCCACACGTATGAAGAGAAAGTACTCTCCTTCTCCAGCAGAGGTTCCCCATTTTCTGTCTCCTACTTTAAAGTTGCCATATATCTCCTGCACTTTGTATCGCCGAGTTCACTTGTTTGGGCTAAGTTGATTTGTTTTGCTCTGCTTAGTTTTGTTGACTTGATATTTGGTCATTCCCTTCTGTATGTTCTTTTCACAATTTCTTTCATTTTTTATTAATTACTAATGTTTTAAGTAAAATTCCTGCTGCCATCTGTTTTTATGTTACCCCACCTAAAGAGACTGCAACTACAGTTTATTTGCAAACATATGTTGATTTTGGAGTTACGTTTCCTCTTAAGACTGGAATCTGACACTACAAAGAACAGGTGTCAAACTGGTTCTAGAAAGGGTTGTGTGGCTGCAGGATGACAAGTCATCGTGTTCAGATTGGACTCACTTGATGAGATGACTGGAGTCTAGTGTAGCTTTTGCTTGGTTGAAAAGAAAACCTTCTGGAACCCGTTTGACACCCCTGCTATAAAGAAAGGTCATGTGGTCTGAAGAATCCAGATTTAATCTTTTTATGATTGATAAAGACACTATTGACAGAAGAGTAACAGAGGATAGCCAGTACCCTGAGAGAGACCCAGGGGGCCCTGCTATGACATGGATATGCTGC